AGGTGTGTTCGGGGAGTGAGTGTGTTTGAGTGTGCTTGTGTGTGTGCGTGTGCGTGTTCGAGTGCGCGTTGGTGATTGTGTGGTGAGTGTGTGTGCGTGTGTTTGTGTGTGAGAGTGTTGTATATGTGTGCTTGTATGTATGTGCGTGACTCTTTTGTGTGTGTGTGTGTGTGTGTGTGTGTGTGTGTGTGTGTGTGTGTGTGTGTGTGTGTGTGTGTGTGTGTGTGTGTGTGTGTGACTCTTTTGTATTTGTGTGCGTGTGTGTGTAATGCGAGTGTTTTTGTGTGTGTTTGTATGTGCTCTTACCGTACTTTACCTTACCTCACCTTACCCTACCATTGCTTATCTTATCGTATCTTATCTTATCATATCTTTTCTAATTTATTTTATCTATCTTTTCTGATCTCATCTTATCTTAATTTATCTATCTTATCTTATCTTTCCTTGTCTTACCTTACCTTAACTTATTTTATCTTATCTTATCGCATCTTACTTATCTTGCCTTGCCTTACCGTATCTTATCCTGTCTTATCTTATCTTATATTATCGTATATGTCTTTCGTTATCTTATTTTATTTTATCTTATCTTATCTTACTTTATCTTACTTATTATCTTATCGTATCTTATCTAATCTTACCTTATCTTATCTTACCAAATAGTATCTTACGTAGCCTAATCTTACCTAATCTTACCTGATCTTACCTGATCTTACCTTATCTTATCTTAGCTTATCTTACTTGCAGGCGAGTCGCGGAAGTTTCAGTGCAACGCTTACGCCAGGGAGGTCCCATCGGTGTTTCTGGAGGTGTCTGAGATCTACATGGTGCACCAACACTCTTCCGATTTGACACGTAGGGGTTTGTTGTGTTGTTTTGTTGTTTTTTGTTTTGTTTTTTTTTTGTATTTGGGGAGGGGGGTTGTTGATTTTTTGTTTTTGTTTTTGCTCTGTTTTAAATGTCTTGCGGCGCTCGCAACTTCATAAGGTCATGTGGGTGGTTGGCGAGTGTTCTGGTGTGGTGTGGCTTGCTCCTTCTTTCCTGTCAAACATCTGTCACCCTGATCTCCCCTCCTTCTGTTTTGTGTGTGTCACTCTCTTGTAACGCCTCTATTCTTCGGCACTTATATGACCTTATTGTGTTGCAATTGCCGTAAAACTCTTAGGGATAAAAAAAGGTCGTGTGAGCGCACGGGACACATTGAATACTTTCATTTATGTAGGTGAAAGGAGAATATTTTGAGAAAGGAAATGTTTCCATTTGCTGTTAGGTTTCGAACCCGGGATATTTTGAATGAGAGGCAAACAAGAAAACTTCTAGACCACAAAAAATCCCAGGATGAGGGTTTACCGACTGTGCGGTTAGGAGATTATGGGATTTACATAAAACGTGCGTGTGCGTGTGTGTGTGTGTGTGTGTGTGTGTGTGTGTGTGTGTGTGTGTGTGTGCGTGTGTGTGGGTGTGTGTGTGTGTGTTTGTGCGTGTCTTGTGTGTGCGTGCCTCGTGTGTGTGTTTGTGTGTGTGTATGCGTGTGTGTGTGAAAGTGTCTTGTGGGTATGTGTGTGTATGTGTGTGTCCTGTGCGTTTGTGTGTGTATCTTGTGTGTGTTTGTCTGTATCTTGTGTGTGTATGCATGTATGTGTGTGTACGCATGCCCAGAGACAGAGAGAGAGAGAGAGAGAGAGAGAGAGAGAGA